AATAACAAAACGGGCATTTTTAAAAGCGGAAGAAAACATCTAAAATTTAACTGAAGTTATTATTTCAAGTCGAGTTTGTAATAAGTTTACATTTCCTTTATTTCCTGGCGGTAATTTGCTTTCACACCTCTGTAGACCACTCTAGACTAACTTGAATATTAAGTAGGTAAGCTAAATACCGTTTCCAGATAAAAGCTACTACTTAATAGTATTTCTGGAAATTTAACTTGAAGGATTATTAAATCTGTTCTGTCTAGACATTTTAGTTGGCTACATAGGTGTAATATGATATTATGATGGAGGTACCTATACTGATGTATTATATATACCGTCTTGCAGTAGTAAGTATTTTAAAAGGTAAGTGAGAGGGATATTTATATCGACTGACCGTCTGTAATAGGTGCAATAGAATGGGGAATGTTAGCTATTCGTTTACGCCAGAGTGGTATTTTTAGTATGCCGTTAAAACTCACTGCCACCATCGGCGAAGCTCTTAAAGTTTGATTGAATAGGTGGGAGATTTTTATACAATACACTTGTGTTTGATTTATAATGTTAATGGTAAGGATATGACTGAACTTGTTTATAGGATTGTAAATTATTTATGATGACCAGATAAATTCGATATTAGTAGCAGTAGCGCTCTTTGTGAAAGAGGTAAGTATTGCGACCTTTGCTATTTCTGCCGCCAAGCAGTAATGTGAGCGTTACTTAACACGTTCCGGTTTTGAAGGGTAATGGTGCTGGTGAAATTACAGGCACATGGGACTTATGTCTCAAAGTAACGGGCGCAGTAACAATGCCCCTCACAATTTTGTGATTTAAAGCTCTGAATGGCACTGCAACTGTTATGGAACCACCAGGCGCTTGACTTGTTCGCTTAAAATATTAAAAAAAGTTTGACTTACACTCTTGGTGCTATAAGGTCACGTTTGCAAAAATACGAGTGCTCAGGAGAGAGGCTTAAAGATTCTACGAACGAAAATAGTAGATAAGATCGTCGATAAATTGTTTTATGCTTAAATAGGAGAGTTATAAAATTTCAGATATTTAAGTTATATTATGTAATTTGTATTAGTTTTATGACCTCCATGTGATAAATGCACTTTTGACGTGTTATCAGATTTGGCAATATTGTACCAAGGGTACAAATTATTTCAATCTTTTTGTTGCGTGTGTTGTTATGTGGGTTACGTGTTGAAAGAAAAAAAGTCTCTTTAAACAATTAAAGACTAAAAAAACTCAGTTATGACTGATGAGTTGATGAGTGTTTAGTATAAAAGAATATGTAACTATCTACCTCTGTGGTTACCTACACAGACCACATAGTGGTTACCTATAGCTGTTCTGCCACGCAGAGGTCCCGGTTTCGATTCCTGAGCTGGGAGAAATATGTATAAGACCTACATTTATTTCTGTCGTGAGATTGGGCGTAATTTGTGGTTGTCTATGTGTGAGTCCCGTGACACAGGGTGTCTCTAGTGTGGGGCTACGAGTGTGTGTGCCTTATTTGTTATTTATTTATTTATCCTAAAGGATAATAAGTCACATTTAAAGTAAACTACTTCTTTTTTCAATGGTTTTGTAGAGAAGTTTAAAAGTGATTATTAAGTTGTACTTATAACACAGATAGTGACCATTTTACGATGATAATATCGAGTGTGTCCACAAATTTTAGCCCAACATCCAAAAACAAAAAGACTTCAAAGTAATTACAATGTGTAATCCGACGCGAACGCGTGAATAAACATGTAAACAATAGGACGTAATTGCGTCTATTGTGCCTCGGCCAATAACTCGTTCGTTATGCACAGACAATCGCAACGGATCGATTACAACCTTAGATAAGCGGTGGACATGACAAATATGTACATTTTATTAGCATTGATGGATTCTCAAAGGGCTACTGTGAAGTTTATATTAATAAATACTTCTACATTAGTTTAATATTTCTCTCCACAAGAATTATAAGTCATAAAGTTTATAATTAATAATCAAAAGGAACGTACCTGTACGTGAAGTTCGACCACATATGACCGGCTATATTCGGTGTGATTTATTATATTTATATATATATAACCTTCCCCACTAGACTAGAATTGCAATACTAAAAAATCCTAAAATCCTGACCTCATCCAAAAAAAAAAAAAAAAAGAAATTTAGGCCGCACCGGTACTACGTACGATCGTTTGTACCAAAAAACAATCACAAGCTTTCTACACAAAATTAATGGCAAGACGATTACGCGGGATTCGTTTTTTCCTTAGAGGGTGGAAAAAAAGGAATATAATAGCCATTAGCTACGCATTGCAAACGATTGCAAAGGTGTTGTTGTTTTTAGTTGACGTTATTTGACATTTGAAAATTTATGATTTTTTTTAAATTGAACTTTCTGTCTTAATCTTTGACAACAAATACGACCTAAATTGTATACTTTGTTGCATTGCTATTTAAATAAAAGATTTCCTAAATTATTTCCATTTTTAACCGACTTCAAAAAAGGAGGAGGTTCTCAATTCGGTTTTATGTTTTTTTTGTATGTGTGTTACGTTATAACTCTAAACATGTGATAAAATTTGTGAACCGATTTTGATGATTCTTTTTTTGTTGGAAAGAGGGTACCTCGGTAGTGGTTCCATTTAAATTAAAAAAAAAATATTCCACCTTTAAGGGTGGCAAACTATTAGATGAATCCGATTTCGCGCATTTTCCGGCAACCGATTTCAATAAAACTTGGCAAACAGATGTAATTCCACGAATCATTGAGGTCGGTTTTTTTAGTACTCTGTTGAGATTATTCTTCAGTAAGTTTGTGGTTCTGGCTTTATTTTACGTTTTATATCTTAGATCATTTCTAATTTTATATGATTGTATTTATATTTCTAACTAGTACCTTTGGAAGTATCTTTTAGTGATTTGCTTGTTACGTCTGTTTTGACGCGCTTTGTTACCTGTGCAACTTACTGTATAAATAAATATTCCACGGCTCTATAGTTAGTACAACGTGCATGTACGACACCAAAATGTTTACAGAACTGTATTTGCACTCAGCTACATGTATTTGCGATTGTAATTTGTCTTATGAAGAATACGAGTCGCGAGGCGAGATAAATCTTGCTTAAAATGTGCATCCTTGAAATTCCATTATTGAATTCCTGTTTTACTTAAAACGATGTTTTCGTAATTATATCCGCACTTGTACTTGTAAAGTATATGAAAACCTCTATGTATTTACTAGTACGTATTCCACGCCGTTCATTTAACTTTAATAACTCCTAATAAGTAACAAAGATGGAAAGCTTGTTACATACAAGTCAAGAAAGAACGGGAGTCCTTTGCAACAGTTTTCAAAGCAGACGTTTTATTTATTTGTAATCAAGAAAATGTTTGTATAATTAACCGAACCGGATTCTTCAGAACCAGTTGCTTCGCTCCTACACCGTCATATATTCTGACTTTCTGTTGATAACACAAATGAGATCACATTTGTTTTAGGAAGTCTCATTTCTCCTAGTGGACAAAATGTGTGATAGTTTGAAATTTGGAAAATATTAAATATTACACCTTTTCCTATTTATAAAAATAAGTGTTTATCAATATAGAACGAAGTCGTAAAAACTGTTTGGCTTCCATTGACGTACTGTGTCTGGTTTTGTGGTCCTCAAGCGGCTATCTTTATGGCGTTCTATTCAATATTCATATCGAATCGTCGAGATGGGCGGTGTCCTCGTAAAACGCGCTTTTTATGTATGAAGTAAAAGCTAACGTTATTCTTGAGAACTACAGAAATATAGGCCAACATATTTCTTTTATCATCAAAAGGTGAGCCTGTGTTTCTATTGTCTTGTGTTGAAATTATGATTTTCTATTTGGGTCGAATTGAGAATTAGAATCATATTATAGAATTATTATATATATTTTAGAACTGTATACATAACCAATCGAATAATGTGTCAAACTCAGAGAGAAGAAAGCATCTACTATTTTTTGCCTATATGCAATCCAGTTCTTCACATATTTATTACTTTAATAAATCCACCAATGCGTCACCATGTATGATTGAAATTAACACGTAATATTGGTCCTTCGACACGGGGGCCCAATATTCATGTTGATTGACACAGCACGCTTAAATATTTAAATATGGGTTTCTTTATTCTGCTCGTGGTGTCTAATGCATATTAACAAATGACTGCCGCATTCCTCAACTCATTCAATTAGGTACTTGGTACTGGTTGTGTATCGTAACTACTCGAAGGACTACATGCGATTAAAGTTGTATCGGATGAGCGTAATGGCGCGAGATTGCTGCGGTCTGGATCGGATTACTTGTTTGTTGTTTGTGTCTGTTATTTAAGTAATGTATTATTTGGTCTACTGTTGTTATTCGAAAACTTTGATTCCCCCAATAACGCAATCCGTCGACTTAGACAGTGTAGACAGTCTCGTCCAAAAACCGTTTTAAATTTTTGCGAAAACATAACACATTATTTATGTTAATTACCTATCTGGTTAAAAATAAGATTAAGAATGTTTTGGTGGATTCGCCTAATGCGTAATAAATAAGTGTGTTTCTTTACTTTATTATATATTATCTACTGGATAAAAGTTATCGATATATTACGAAAACATCATTATATTTTCATTGTTAAAAAATGTTAATGATTGAAATTAGGATTTAAAGCGCATTGTGTGACTATCATGATGTAGCCTCATCAAAGCAGAAATGTTTAACACACTTATGTCGACTTGAGTCATCTTTGAGCCAGATTAAATTACGATCCAAGTAAACGTGTATCAAACTTATTTCAGTGAAGAATTTATCAACAAAATGAACTGTGGAATGTAAATATAATACACCTTTACTGTGCGAAGTTTTGTTGTAACAAAGCATTTCTGTTCATTCATGTTCGTAAATCCAGGAATCACTATACTAAATTAATTGTTTAAAGAACTTTTATTTTAGGCAAAGGTTCGTTATCTAAGTGTTCTTGTTACAGTGGCCTGAACTTCCAAGATCTGATCGTGCGACAGGGAGCCATCGACTCCCCTCCTAAGACTCCATTCATCCTTGGATTCGAATGTGCTGGAGAGATCGAGCAGGTTGCTGAGGGAGTTACCAACTTCAAGGTGTGTTAATATTTGTTCTATCTTTTTGAATTATATTTATAATATGACACACAAAACAAGCAAAAAAAGTAAAACCTATGGGCTCTTATTTTGTGAAGAGCTCGAAACTTTGTTTTGTTTGAAAAAAAAAATTTCGCGATTTAGATCCCAAAAAAAGTTTAATTTTCAGCATGTAGCAGTAGCGAAAACCTAACAATTCGATATCTTTTACAAAAATTCGTTGTTAACATCGTGATACCATTGCCATTGCTTTGTTTTCCGGAAAATGTTGGTTCTGGTTGTGGTTGAAAATTAAACCTGCCAATAGGACCCTTTTGGTGTCCGTCAGGTAAGTGTGGGTGGGTCAAGGACATGTAATATTATCTCCTTTCAAGGTTCGCATAGCTCATACGTCAGTGAAACCTCTTGACCTACATAATATTTTCAGACTGCGGACGATGTTAACCGATTTTTATTTAATTTTTCAAAACCCTATGAACACATAGTAACATATCATTACAATTAAATAATCTCAGTACATAGTACTAAAAACCAACCTCAAAAGTCATTCATCCTCTAGTTTGCCACAGTTAGAGGTGGAATATTTTCTTCAAATGTAAATGGGACCACTATTGAGGTACCCTCTTTCCAAAAAAGGAATACTCAACATATTTTTTTGAAGTCTGTTAAAAAACAATTAAGAGTACGAATCGAATGCGTGATTATGTAGTTCATTGAAATCGATCATTTTCAGCTGTTGTTTCCTTATCGAAATTTGGGAAAACTAATAACAAATGTAATGTACTAAAAATAAATATAAAATGCGAAAATGAGAACTGAAATTGAACAGCACAATTAGGTACTTCATCAAATCACCACAGAGTACTATGTAGGTAGATAGTTAGTCCTAATTAGTAACAAGAACATGAATTATGTAGTTTGATCGATTGCCAACCACAAATATTATTTTCACTATCGTGTACTCACTGTTATCGAGTACTGTTTTGTGTACTTACTTCTATATTACCTGTCGCTGCCACAGGGTCTTATCACCATTTTGTATTTAATCTAATAATCTTTTCTACCAGGTCGGCGACCAAGTAGTAGCCCTCCCCGAGTACAAAGCATGGGCTGAACTCGTAGCAGTACCAGCCCAGTATGTCTACAAGCTGCCGTCCGGCATGAGTCCTTTGGACGCCGTTGCCGTGACCACCAACTATGTGGTGGCATATCTGCTGCTTTTCGAGATGGCCAACCTTACCCCTGGCAAGAGCCTTCTTGTACACTCTGCTGGAGGTGGTGTGGTAAGTACACATGTTTCTTATTGAAACAACACAACGATTGAGGCACATATTTTAATCGCAGTAGAGCTCCTTGTGAAAGAGTTCGTTCAGTGAAGTACTGCCACCTGGCCACCTTAGCTATTTCTGCTGCCAAGCAGTAATATGAGCATTATTGCGTTTCGGTTTTGAAGGGTCAGGGTGCTGGTGAAATTACAGGCACATGGGACTTGTCAACTTATGTCTGAAAGTAATAGGGGCGAAGTATCAGTGCCCATAAATGTGATCACGAAGTATCAGTGATCATAAAGCTCTGAGCGGCACTGCAACTGTTATGGACAAGTGTGTCGTTTACCAGCAGGTGCACGATTTGTTCGACCTGTCACTTGGTGTCATAAAAAAGGACATAGATTTTTTAATGTACACACTCATAGCCCTGCACCAGAGAAACCCTGTGTCGCGGGTGCCATGGACACATAGACAACCACAAATGTGATGAGAGAAAGAAACGTAAGCATACAAATACAGACCAACATGTAACCGTTCGGCCACAGAGGTAGTTAAGATAGACAAGTCATTGTAATAATAATAATAACAACGCACACACTCAACATAGCCCCGCCCTAGGGTAACCCAGTGTCGAGGGTGCCATGGACACACACATAGACAACCACGATTTACACCCAAACTCACGAGAGAAATAAATGTAGGACATCCAAATATTTCTCCCGGCCCGGGAATCGAACCTGGGACCTCTGCGTGACAGACCGTTCGGCAACAGAGGCAGGTAATATTATAGACTACGAGAAGCTTTGAAAGTACTGGTCTTAAAAACATTTTATATGAGTCGTTTTTTCTGGAATAGGTAACTAGTTTTTTAGATTTTAGCATTTCATAAGCACTTCAGTGTGACGAATTCAATTGTTTTAATAAAACGAAATATTTACATTTTGTATTTGTCGCATGATGGAAAACCGCCATGTGTAAAACCTATTAGTTGAATTAGATTGTGCCATATTCAACTGCGCTTGAAATGTATCCTAAGTATATTGAGTCTAACATATATATAATATTTGCTAGGGAATATACGTACCTACCGAGTGAATATTACTACTTATGAATAGAAATTGCTTAGGTCTAATGTAGCTTTTTTTCGAAAAACCAATCAGTACAGTAAAAATACCGTGTCGTTGAATGATGTATTATGATAAGTCGAAATACTAAATAAAAACGCTAGGTATTGTTTAGGTAACTACATCAAAGTATGGGCATGGCGGACAGTCAACTACAAAAACATCCAAGGAATTTTAAAAATTCTTGCGCCACAAGTTCCTTCTTTCATTACTGACACACAAACGTCAAAAGCATTATGATGCGAATGTTTATCGTATATCTAACCGTCGAAATGCACTTTTTGATAGAATGAGGATAGTATGATGGATTTTTATTTAGCTGGAGTTTTCTTATGATGATTTAGATGGATCACGCCCTTTGTTCAGTTATGTAGATGTACATACAAATTATACAAACAAGTAGAAAAAAAATTAAGGTACATTTTGCTAGTAGTAAATTCCCATCGCAATAGCAATGTGTGTAATGGAAAGAAAATCAGCACACATTATTACTTTCTAATATAATGGTTAAATTGCCCCAAATTTACTTTATAGGTTCTTAATGCGTGACTTTCATTATACTGAATGAATAGGTATATAAAGAGTACGGTATTATCATCCGTAGAACAAAGATCTATGTGCAAGACTACTTGTACTTAGGACATAGTAGGTACATTTCGTTGGTTCTTCTTAGTTGTGGATGTCAGATCGACCGTTGTTCGATTTTATATTTCCGAAACAAATAAGATGTATAAATTCTCAAAACATCTTTACATAGGCTTTAGTTTGAATAACGAAATTATTCTCGTAACGTACTTATTATTTTTTCGCTATGTAATCACATCGGATTTTATTCTTAGGATGAGTCGAATGTGTATCAGTGATAAAAAAAATCTCTTTTTTTTTAATATAAATATTAGACAACATCACATACGTTGCTCTGATCCCAAATTAAGTAACAAAACCACTTATGGAATGGAAATCGGAAACACCAACGGTACCACTAATGTCTGAATCAGACAATATATAAAAAATAGTTTTTCTATAGGTATTGACTCGAACCCAGGATCTCAGATATGGCGACACCATGAAAACGGTCGTCAATATACACATATTTTTGACCCTTTTATATGTGTATACTTGTAGAAACATGGAACGAGTTCATAATTAGAAATAAAACATCGTAACGAGTTGTTTAACTATCTAATTGTTCTGAATTGGGTGAGAAAATGTTTGCCATTGGCTTCCGCGTGTGACGTCATCGCACCCTCGAGGTTGATGACCTGAAACTCGAATCTGCCAATAAACTGGGCTATAAAGTGGTCAGTTAGGTGGGGTTCACTCAATTAGCTGGAAAACGTTTACAAATCCAAACAGAGCTAAAACAGGTCAGCATTAAAAAGTGTTTTTACACGGTCGTAATCGTATTTATTCTTCCTATAAATGATAATAAAGGATCGATTTTATTAATATTAATATTTGATATTGTGCACTAGGTATTCATTATTACCTTAAAATGAAAATGTCGCACAATAATTAAGAACAATCATTGAATAACAATATAGACGCATTTATTGCAACCAACCTGTTACCACATACGTCATAAGTTTCTCATAGGTAGAGCTAACGGCAAAGCCGTTTAAACCCAAAATACAGATCTGCAGCAAGCACGTAGAGAAATTAGTAAGGTCTACTGACTTGAATCTGTAGCTCAGATGGTAAGAGCGATGGCCACGGTGTGGCAACAGACGCTGGTTCGAGTCAGATCGGAGGACTTTTTTTTTATTGTTAGATTTTTGTAACAATAACAAACTACTGGAGTATTTTCACAAAAAATATAGGTATGAATTTCATGGTAGTAAAAACAATAATGATATATTCAATAAAATAAATGTAGGTTTATTTGGACTTAACAGTTTACAATCATTAGCAAAAATCGGAAAAAGCACAGTATATATACCTAAACTTCATATATAATAACCTTTAGTACTTATAAAGTTTTCCTTTCGTCACGTAAACGCTCTTAATTTAAATTTTAATTCTATGAAAATGTTGTATTGAAAATATCACTGGCAAAAACGCCGATTTTCCTAAAATAAAACAAATTTCCGCCGTGCCAATTTTACACTGGTGCTTCATCGGTGGCTGCGGCGTGGAACAATTGCCACATGCAATCTAGGCTAACAAAAAGGGCACGCTTTAGCATATTCCATTACTAGAGTCATGTCCCCATAGATCACACAGGTCACAAAGTTTTAAAAATGTTTATGATATCGACGAAACCTACCCTTCTTTTCCAATGTATCTAAAAATGGGATAGGTACATCTTCACCGTAATAGATATTTTATAATACTCTAATTGCTAAAATAATTGCAGTGCCATTCAGAGCTTTAAATTACAAAGAATAGACGGGCTCTGCTACTGCGCCCATCACCACGAGATGTAAGTGACAAATCCCATGTGCCTGTAATTCCACCAGCTCTCTTGTCCTTCAAAACCGGAACACATTAATGCTCACATTATTGCTTGTCGGCAGAAATAGGTCAGGTGGCAGTACTTCCCTTCACGAACTCTTTCACAAGGAGCTCTACTACTATTAAAAACTAGTTTTCACCGCACACATGTATGATGATATCTAATCTAACTATAATGAGAGCTAATTTGCATTTTAAATGTGAATAATTATTTTTAAATGGTGAATTCGAAAACAGTGTTATTTCAAGAGCTGTGGCGAACTATGTCATCTGAATGCCTAAAACATTAAAATTTACTACTTTTGAAATAGCGTCGTAGAACCTTAAAGTATGTCATCAGAAACTCATCTTCTGTAGAATTTCCTCAGCTTTTAAAGACGTTTGTTGAAGGCGGTGAAGTGGTATGATAATCAACAGTAGTAGCAGTGAGCTCCTTGTGAAAGAGTTAGTCCAGGGGAGTATTGCCACCTTACTTATTTCTGCCGTCAAGCAGTAATGTGAGCATTATTGCGTTCCGGTTTTGAAGGGTAAGGGTGCTGGTGAAATTATAAGCACATGAGACATATGTCTGTGATTTAAAGCACTGAGTGGCACTGCAACTGTCATGGATAGGCATGTCGCGTACCACCAGGCGTACGACTTGTTCGTTCCGCCACTTGGTATCATAAAAAAAAACATTTGTTGTGAAGTTTTTTACTATTTAGTGCACAATTTGCTGCACCTACCGCGTGAATTTTTAAAAATTAATTGTACAAAGTGGACTGAATTACAACTTAAAGGACAAAACTGAAACATTGTGGTAAAATCGCCCTTATACTTAGCTAATTAGATTTTCTTAGTGGCGGTTTTATTTATCTCTGCAAGGGCTGGACGATAATGTGTTTTATCTGACAAGAGAATTAAATTTTGTTTATATTTAATCCTCAGGACATTTAGTGAAGAGTTTATTTGTATTAAAAATATGTAAAGTTCAACTTAGCGCGACGAACCTGTTACATAATTAAAATTAAATATTCAAAATCATTTCAAGAATGTTTAAGTTTATTTGTTTCTTGTCTATCCCAGGGAAATTTTTAATGATTAGAATTTATGGTACTAGCCGTCGTGAAAAACATATACCGCTTTATATTATTTGAGATGATGCATTTTAGACAGTACTCCAAAACAGAGACAAAATAATATAACCTAGACGTTAGTATTCAACAAATGAAATGAACTTTGCAGATGCAATGATAACATTTTTTTTGTTCTAATGACAATTGTCTTGTTTCACAGGGTCAAGCTGTGGCGCAGCTGGCGAAGACAGTGTCCGACGTAACGGTGTTCGGCGTCTGCTCAAAGACCAAGCATGAAGCACTGAAGGCTAACAACAACAACATTGATCACTTGCTCGAACGTGGCTCCGACTATACCAGCGAAGTCAGGAAGTGAGTAGAGCTTCATTATTTTTTTTGTATTTTTGGATATACTATCAGCAAACTCGACGCAGTCCCGTTTTCAGAACATTTGTTGTTTGTTTGTAAGCTGAGAGAGTAGCTAGCTGTTGTTTTGTTGACCTTTTTTTTTGAAAACCGTTTGTTTGTTGCTCAAAATTTCACCACCCAAAAAATTTGTTTGTAAGCTGAGATTGTAGCTAGCTCTTATTTTGCTGACCTTTTTTGTGAAAACCTTTTGTTTATTTCTTAAAATTGCACCACCCAAAAAATTTGTTCAGTCCTTAAACGCCATTGCTAGACAAGAACGAGCAAGCCGCAGGCAACAGTGTTCAGTAACGACTGCCTTTACCTGCATGGAAAAAGAACCCTTAAAGTGGAACTGCGTCGAGTTTGCTGATAGTACTTCCGCATTTCACGAGCACTGGTTGTATAATATTTTAAACGAATTTCAATATGGCTGCCGAGTTTTGCTCGAAAACATCTCTTAAAGAATAGAGTAGACATAAGTCACAAAGAGAAAGAACAATCACATACATTCACCTACATATTTCGTACGTAGAGTACATTAAAGTTTTGCTGTCCAACGATCTATACGAAAATTTATAAAACATTAAAGTAAGTCTTCATCATATTTTAATTTTCATTTCCTACATAAATTTTACTTGATCAAATAATCCCGTCCAAATTCATAAAATGAAATTATTTTGCTATATGCAAATTACATTGCTAGATATTCCGAGGAAATTAAAATTACGTACAGTTCGTGTAGAAACGAAGCCAAATAAAGATAAGTGAATAAGAAGGAAATATAAAGATTTCGAAATTAATATCCTGTCACGAGTCATGGAAGAAGAATTTCATCGTATAATCGTGTAGAATTCTAAAAATGAAGGGATGATTTCAGAGCGGACTAAAAATAATCCACCCACAGAGGGCCCTTCATCTTACTAATTCCTTGTTTTTATTGCACGAGTAGGTACGCGGGAATTTTATAGGAGCTCGTGTATTTTACATTATTGTCGCTATAAATATTGACTACGCTCAACTATGCTGTCTGGTTCTTGTTCATAATACTTTTTGCCTTTTTAAATTTTGAAATATTTACGATTGCTTTATAATAATGAAAAGAATACTGAAAAAATAATCATACGTTTTAAAATAATCACTAGATGTGAAAAGCGAATTTAGGTTACCATTTAATTTCGATACCTGCTTATTATCACTTTAATTACAACGTTAGTAAGATAATGAAGTTATATCAGAACGAAGTAACAGTTAGGAAAATTACTTGTTCAAAAGTTACAGACCTAGTTACCTATTATAAGTACTGGAATGGTAAAGTACGTTTCACCTTGTTTTCCTTGACACAAAACAAGCGCATATTTTGTCTTCGTATGTTCCAGGCAAAAGAGTAATTTCATGTATGACGATTCATTAATGTTCCTCTTAAATTACCAATTTTACAATTTCTTTCCACGCCCTGTCGTTTCCGAGCAAATAAACGAAGTTGTTCCCGATCCCAAGCTTTGTTAATTGGTGGTTATTACGTTACATATTTCAGTCTGAGCTTGAATCGTGTGATACGAATACGGCCAGCTGAGTTTGACCTCCCGTGCCGGTCTCGATAACTTGACGAGTTAACGGACAGGGAGGTTCGGATAACCGGAGTCAAGGTCTTTTTAAATCGGACACGGTGAACGTTAATTGTTCCGTTTATAACCCGCTCCTTAGGGCAGCTGCTTCATAACAGACGGCGGCATTTAATTCTCGTAAATAGACAAAGATATTTTTATATCTGGTGAGCTCTTCGCGGCGTAAACAGTCGGCCAGCAAGTTCAGTGTAAATAAACATTTGTATCTACTGACTGCCTGAGTGCAGAAAACTATTAGCAGGACCGGTTCCAGATCCTCAAAGAATAGACATTATTTTGTATTTGACTACACCAAGGTTTCAGAGAACGACTAACCCTCGTACTTGCTTATGATTTATACTTGCATATTCAAACACATATTGCATATTCTCTGGTAGGTATAATATGAATAAGTAGTTAATTGCAAAACATAATGAGTTAGGTTCGGTAACTATTAATTTATAAGTAACAGACGTACCTAAATTACGTGTATGAAGAATTAAGTCTCACTTTGAGGAAGAACTTGGTGCGAGTTAGCATAACATATCACACCGGTACTGCAACTTTTAAACTTTTGTGGTCTGTACACAATGTAAATATTATGCTGAGTATGTGTCCCCCCTGAGGAGAATGTTTAGTCTATCACAATGGCTAAATGTTGGTACCTATTTGGTGTCAAAATAGTTTTATAAACCTACTTAGACATGCTGGTATAAAAAGTAGTCATACTTATTAGTTTACCGATAGTTCTATCTACGAGTAGGTATCAGCACAAGCATGCACCTCTAAGTCGAATTGTGTATGGTTTATTTATTCAACAAATAGTGACGAAGCATGTCGGAAACATACCTACGAAAATTGTAAACTCGGCTGTCTTTCCAAGGTTATAGATTAGGACTTAATACAAAGAAGAAGGTCCGAGTTAACAGTATGTACTTAAACTATGACTAACCACCAGGATCACTCCGGACGGCGTGGATATCGTGCTGGATTGCCTCTGCGGCGAGGAATGCAACCGTGGTTACTCGCTGCTCAAACCCATGGGCCGATATATTCTCTATGGTAAGTTATTCGAAGACGTTAATGGTATAAAACATACTTTTGGCCACTATGTTGTTCCAAATAAGTTATCTGGAAATTATGGACTACACAATGTTTTTTTTTAAGAATAAATCTACTGTTTTTAAGTTACTGATAAAAGTGAATAAGTAGGTACTTTGTTGAATGTGCACAGTTTTTAATTTTTATAGATGATGATATACCTAAGCAGGTTCTAAATAAGAAAGTTATTTAAGAACAAATGGGAATTCATAAAATCGTGCGTATTGCTCCTATAAATTATTCTTTTCACTCGCAAATTAAGGCCTGGTATTTTTGTCGCTTTAATGCGACTTTTTACGTTATTTATTACAGAAAAGTACGAATTTAAGAGTAAACCACTGAATTATCACACGATAGAAGACTACAGATTCCTAATATATAAAGACGAAAATAATATAACGTGAAATTTTGACGATAAAATCAAATATACTTACTGAATCAGGCCAGTATGTTGTTCTGGTGTATTTTGAACTTATCATTGTCATACCGCAGGATCATCTAACATCGTGACCGGGGAGACCAAGAGCTTCTTCAGCGCCGCGCGTGCTGTGAGTTTAAAACTAATTATCTGATTTTATTACCCAAGTATACTTGACAACGAAAAAAAGTGTGTAAGTTTAGTACACTATCATAATCATACACATATGCCTACGTGTATTGTGATCTAGTTTGCTAACCACATTATCAGTATACTCTCGCAACAAAAATCTGTTTCGTTTGTATTACCTAGTACCTACCTACCTAATTTATTTTATAACCCCCGGACCTCCTTTTCTCGGTCTTTTTTTCAATTCGTTTCATAAAATAAAATCAGCTTTATTTGACACGCGAAGTGATGAAATGTGAATCAGCATCAGAACTATCCGAAGTTACAATTATTATATTGCCAAAGTCCATCCTAAAATAGAACACAACAAACAAAGTATTGTCATAAGTAATTGATGACACATTTAAGCAATAAATAAATTATATTGACACAAATAACTACCAGTCAAAAAAATAATCAGTATGGGTAATATTAAAAATAACATCAACAATCGTCTTGAAATACTAATTAAATTAAATATTGCACTACTTATTTATTACATTAAAACATATTTATAATCACAATTTACACTTACAGCTATACAGCACTCACGCTCGCATATGCTCTTAGGAAAATTCATATCTAATAAGCTTACACTTTTTCTTATCGTTTTCTTTTTCTTCTTCTTACACTATAATACTTCTTACACAGTGGTGAAAGAATTTGCCAAGCGCCAGACGTACAGCCCAGACATGGTACGTCGTGAGGGGAGGTTCTTTTCATTCACCCCATTATTTCAATGAATAACTTTCAATTCAGTGATAAAATTATATGATTTTACTTCTGAATTTAATCTATACCTGTGCCATTTTAGTGAATAAAAATAGCACGTTTAAGTACACTCAAATAATATGTGTACTATAGGTAATAGTAAATAATTTATTTTCGAAGGTAATGTGAAGTAAGTTTTACAAAATCTATATTGAAAAAGTTATATTGTCTTACATACATAAAATTGGACCTGGTTGAAAGTGAAGAATTTTGAAACGATGTCTATCATTCAACGGTGTTAGTTTTGAGAAATTATGTCAAAGAAATCCATATATATGCCCAAAATAGGATCAAACTTCATTTGTTTGAAGTAAGTTCGCTACGCTATCCTCTTAAAAAAATATAATTTAATTCTCCACTAGAATTGTAGGTCGTTCAGTTGTTAAATTCTGCCGCTGATTGTACTGAGAAATAGTTATACTATATAATGAGTACTGCATTCCAAGAATAAATTATTAGTATCCCACAATGTACCCATTGTATTTTGTGTGTGAGCGTTTAAAAAGCACACAAACACTACATCATAAATAATAAATATTGAATAATAAACAAAAGCGAATACAAGTGAATATTTTATCTCAACAAATAAATACTCATACGATAGTCTTATTTTTATATGATTACCGTAACGCAAGCAATGAGTTCGCAATGGCGTGTTATGAACACGGACTCGCAATGATATAGCAGGCGTCACGAGGCCATGTCATGCATGTTTTATTACAATACCCCTGATACGAGGACTCGAGGGTGAAATCTATTTTTGCTGACTTTACAGCATATTGGCATACCGTGCTTCGTCATACACATACATGAATTGTTTTACAATTCTGCCCTCCTTATCATAACTAATTTAATCGACATTTTTAGCGAAATTGAGTTATTGATGTATTTGTGATCAGCGAAACGAGATCTACAACTACATTTAAGTGGTTTTCTTATATCTTTTTTCTAGTGAAGTTACTGGCATATGGGACTTGTCAACTTATGTCTCTGAGTGACGGCCGCAGTGGTAGTGCCTCTCAGATCTTTGCAATTTAAAGATCTGAGTAGCACTGTAACTGCCATGAACAAGTGTGTAGCTTACCATCAGGCGCACGACTTGTTCGTCCCGTCACTTGATGTTATAAAAAAATATTTTTTCGTCTTAGTTCTATTATTGTTAAGCAAAATCAACGCATTTCATCCAGAAAGACCAAAATCACCAATCACTATTAATAAGAAATCTAGACTCTCTTCTTAATCTTCAATAAGTTTTGTCTCTTTGTTATGAAAGTTTATGAATCATTGTACTAAAAATGCTTGACATTTATTACCAAAATGTTCAGGACCTTAGAACCAAAACAAATGACTTGTACAAAAATGTCGTCACTTGTAATTATAAGGACATCGCGTTTACCGAGACGTGGCTTAACACAAATGTATCAAATAACGAATTGTTTGATAGTAGATATGTAGTATATCGTAGAGATCGGTTGTGCTCTAAAAATACAAAGAAGGATGGAGGGGGTGTGATGTTAGCAGTTTCGCGTGACATATTTTCGGTACGAGTACAGAACTGGGAAATTGAAGTGGGTAACACTTCAAGTATCAATTCGTAAAACAGTGAGAAAATTGGCGATCTGCGTTGTATAATTACCACCCCCAGTAAAATTAGAAAAAATGTCTCGATTTTTGGAAAGTGTTGATAGTATAATAGACCAAACCGATGACCTTGTAATCCTGGGTGATTTCAATCTCTGGTTCATTAACTGGACTGTCATGAACAATAGTACCAACATGGTTCCATCTAATTATAACACAGCGTTGGGGTACTCCCTAATCGATTTTCAAATAGTGAATAGTTTATGTCCAGCGAATTGTATCAGTAATAGTGATGGTAGATTTCTTGACTGAATACTCTGTAAATTGCCAGAAGCATCGGTGACTGTTCCTTTAACTAGTCTATCCAAAACTTATAATAATCATCCTAGTCTACACACACTACAACAGTGATCCGGATTCTGGGAACTTCTCCATATTTTATTGTTGATGATACGAAACCGGTCCCTCGAAAAGTCTTAACTTCAATAATTAGCCAAAATAATCTCTGCCAAACTCTCGGTGTCAACGGTCTCTCTCTCGGGACAGCAGTTTACCTTTTATTATGAATTACTTTGGGTTAACGTCAGGGGTTCGCGTGACCTCGTAGGGTTGTACAAAAAATATCCACACATGGGTAATGTTTTTATATTGAAACCGTTTTACGAGGGTATTTTTATTACACAATGTTTAAAAATTGATGCACTACTCTGAGATGCTTCTAACGTATCGCTATATTATGTAATTCTGTCGTCCAGAATGATCTCGAGATGATTTTACCTATTAGAAAATCTTACCGGATATTTTTTTGTAAAATTTCCTATATAGGAATAATCAATTAAATCATCGGTTCTCAAACCTATTTTGTCTACTGCCCACTTTGAGAATAAATTATTTTTAGCGCCCCCATTTATTCATCTACTTAAAAACCACTATAACTTCAAATTAAAGTAATTATTGTGAGCTATATTAGCGGAGATTAAACATTCATTCTAAATGAGACTTACTATAACCCGCAAGAGTTAACTTGAGACCTGAGCGCAGTAGGTAGTACACAACGGGGCCTCAGGTCTCAAGTTAACTCTTACCTGCCAATGAGAATGATTATTGAAACGTAACTTTATAGTATTCAGACAGAGTATCTTTTATTCAAAATAAAACAAACAATCGATTCTAATATAAAAACTAATGTGAAGGATGTATCTGATGATGCTGTTTAATAAGTTTGTTGGTATCAGGTTCCAATTTACTCAAGAACAGCCTCAAGTCACCACGTTCGGTAACATGCAAACGATTTCTCTTTTTAGTAAGCAGCGTTGTCACAGCACTAAAACCACATTCACACAAATATGACGATGGGAATGCTATCAATCGAAGAATAGTTGAACGATTGACCAAAATCCAGGGTGCGAGATCGGTTTTTGTAGCCAAAATTCTTGGTAGCCATTTTTGAATTTGATTTTTATTTCTTCGTTCGTTGTCAATTCTACAAGTTCTTCTTCCAGCTGAGGTGATATTGCTGTGTTGACATTTGAAAACGGATCCAACACCCAGCCTGGTATTTTCAAGTTCAAAATGTCCTGGTATCGTTCGGTGAAGTCAATGTTTTCCAAATGTTGGCAGTAGGCAAACAAGTCGTCGTTACTGCAGGATATTGATAAATTCGGAAAATTGTGAAACTCACGTCTGCCCATATTCTTTTTGTGTAGAAGCAGTTTGGCTGCGAAAGCAGCAACGACATTTTTGTTTTAATTAAATTTAGTTCATCGCCTTGCAGTTGCAGATTCATGTCGTTGAACATTTTATACAGGTCTGTCATGTAAGCTATATCATTCTTTGATGTAATGAGCTTGTTGCGCAATTCTGTATCTTTAGTTTTCAAGAACTCTATCACAGAGTCAAACAGGTTGTAAAATCGAGTCAGACAATTGCCTCCTGATAGCCAACGAACTTCAGTATGAAACAACAAATGGTTGAAATCTTCGTCATTAGTAACACAAAGCTGATGAAATAATCTATCATTCAAAGAGCTGTTACGGATTTTATTGACTGCTTTGATGACATATTGCAGTGATTGAAATAGTCATTCACGTAAATTTCTAGCAACTAAATGTAGTCTATGAATAACGCAATGTACAGCCAGGACATCTGGAATTTTATTTTTTAAGTACGCTATGAAGCCTTTATGGCACCCTGTCATAGCCGGAGCGCCATACGTAGCAAGTGATATAATATTTATATAAAAATAGTTATATAAGAATCTCTTTCTCATCACAAAACTTTTCCAATATGTTGAATATGGTTTCGCCTTTTGTATGGGTCTCTAAATTTCTAGCAAACAATAGTTCTTCACATATTTTCTCATCTTTAATAAACCTCACGTAAGACAGCAACAATGTTTCATTAGTTGGTAAAGTGGACTCATCGAGCTGAATTGCGAATTGACTAGTCCTCAGATGATTGCAAACTGATTCTTCAATGTTTTGAGCCATTTCATCAATTCGTCTTTGCACAGAATGATTACTCAAAGGAATTTTTTGGATAATGTCTGCGGCCGGTTTATGAAGCACAGTAGTTATTACTTTATTGCTGGCAAAATTAAATCTTCTCCGATGTTGTGTGGTTTGCCTTTTTCAGCAATTAACAAAGAGATATTGTACGAAGCTCGAAGTCCGTCATCACCTTGCTTAGCAGGCGCCGAAAAGAGTTTTGCTACACTTGGCTGAGTATTATGCTTCTTCTCTAGGTCTTGAAAATATGCTAAAAAAATATTCTTGTCTTTCTTATCTGGATGCTATTTATTCAAATGATCTTGCAGTCTTGAAGGCTTCATTGCTTCATTCGAAAATGTTTTTAGACATAGAAGGCACAAAGGCAACGATGGGTTTGTGGGATTTTCAATGAATCCGATTTAATATATTCCGCACAGTATTGCCGTCTCTTGTTTTTTACTTCCGACATTGTTTTGTTTTGAGAAATACGTAAGTAAGTGTTGAACTTAAGTACTGCTTATCTATTACGCGTGAAACCGCAAATGAAAATAAAATAAATATTACGTTGTTTATATGGGATTGCACAAGCAGCACGTACCGACAGGAATAAGACAAACATGCATAAACTCGTTTATCTCATTCGACGCTCAATCGTACGCAACAAGTAAGAACAAGTATTCTATGAACCAGCTGATTGATACAGGAATGCACAAATCGGGTTATTTAACAAAAACTTGTTAAAACATGATTGCCCGCGGTCTATTAATTTTAATTAAAATTACCTATCTAGGAATACTAATAACTGTTAAAATGCGAAACTGTGTATGTTGCCTTTTTATTTGTCTGTTTGTGTCTACTTTAATTTCGAAACGGAGCGACCTATTGACATGATTTTTATTTTAGTTATTCAATAAAAAAGGACAGGACATTTGAACTACACGGAGAGAAATATCGAACCGAGTTAGTTTGAGCAATCTCGTAATTAATATTAGTTGATGTTCACAAGTTGTAGTCGAGAGTCGAGAGCTCAATCGGTGTCTAAGAGTCTTCCTAGATGAAATTACAAATCTCCCCCTAAGCCTCTGCACAACGCCCCCATTTTTTTTCTGGATCTCTTACCGCCCCTCTTTAGACCTGCAGCGCCCTCAAGGGGGCGTTGTCGTCCACTTTTGGAAAGGCTGAATTAAATCATTATTTGCTTTTGGCAGTGGTGGCAAGTGGACAAGGTGTCTCCGATAAAGCTGTTCGACGAGAACAAAAGCCTGGCAGGGCTAAACCTACGGCACCTGCTGTTCCAGCAAGGTCGTGTAGACTACGTACGTCGCGCTGTCGACCATGTCTTCGCTCTTTGGGGTGAGGGAAAGGTCAAACCTCTCGTGGATTCTACTTGGGCACTCGAGGATGTAAGTTTTGTTCTTTTTGTCACAAAATTATTTTTTTCAACGCAGCTGTTTCGAGCCTAACCATGGAACTTAAATTTGTTTCATTTAGATTAAGATTCCTTCTCAAATATTTCCGTATCAGGTTGGTGAAGCAATGCAGAAGATGCATGACCGCAAGAACATTGGCAAACTTGTCCTGGACCCATCTCTGGAGCCTAAGCCCAAACCAGCTACACCGGCCAAGGAGAAGAAATCCGGCAAGGACAAGAAACCCGCTAAAGAGAACTCTGAGGATAAGAAGGACAAGGAGAATAAGGAGGAGGAGAAGAAACCAGCCGAGAACGGGGAAAAGAATGGTGAGGAGCCGATGAGTAACGGTAACAGCGACGAAGGTCAGTCACCAACTATTGTGACCAGGCATGCGTAGAGCGTAGAGGGCTTTACATCGTACCCTATATAAGTATACTATAGCTTTCCACAAATATCCTGACTACATAGAACTAGAGGCAAGTGCGCTAAGCACTATTCGTACTAATAGCCTCGAGTTTTATATCGAGATATTTGTCGCAATCTTTACATTTTTTATTATATATCTTTTAGCTTTTGTTTTAGCATATATTAAGTATTACTGCGCACGCATTGGTGGCTAAACGCACATTATATCTCGGGTTACGAAGAGATCGAAATCGTTTAGAATACAGCCTTTAGACATGCTTTAAGTACTTAATGTGTTTTATACTTACATATACTACAAATAATTATATATTTTGATTTTGTTGACTTCGGACGTAAAATGTGTCCATTTTTTTAATTGATCAACATCAAACACGATTTATTATTATGCAGTTATTTTAATACACATAATACAATTATCAGTCATATAGCTGCTTTTTAGAACACATATAAACGTTTGCCGAACACGTTTATTATTTCTTATTGAGATCATTTTTCGTCTGAACCACAAATATTATTACAGACGCTCTATGAATCATCACTCAAGACTTGGATATTATACAATATGATATGCATGGAGCTGTATTCTAGATAGTGCTCCCAGATTTAATTTCGTGGCTCTAGTACTCATAAGAATACTTTAGTTTGAGACTAGACAATAATTGTGATTGTCGAGCACGTTAATGTTATCAGTCTTAGAGGTAGGTACCTAAGACCCTTCTTACTTTGTTTAAAGGGATAGAGTTTTGGTAAAACAGTCTTCAGGCGTTAGTGTAGATCTTGTGCCGAAACTTTTATTAATAGAACATTTAAATTTCTGCGACGAAACATCCGGTGAGATTTCTAAAGGCAAAAAGACTTCTAAAGGATTTCAAAATGTCGTTTAGTCAGCTTGGTCATATAGTCGGGTCTGTCGATCAAAAGTTGCAAATGTTATTCTTTCAATCAATCTGATTCTCATACGCATCAATTTACAATGGAGTATTCCGACAATTTATATAAATTTGCATGTGGCCCACAGTACAAATAGTTTTTGAATTTAATTTTGTCAGAATATCTATATTAACCTGTTGAGTTATTAAATTGCATATCTAATTTAAACCAAGTGCATTGGCATGCTTTGAAAACTAGCAAGAACGCGAAGAATATCTTTATTATACTTAAGTATTTATGCTGTTTTACACATACATGGTATGCAAATGAATATACGTGCCTCTGGTAGAAAACGTTAATTATAAATAAGGTACTTAATAGTGTTTTCTACGAGTACGAATCTTATCTCAAAATAAAGTGTAAATAACGTAATGTTCAAATGAAAGTAAGTTAAGTACTTAACTAGTTAAGTAACTTAGGCAGTACCGCATTGATTTTGCATCTGGTATTGAAGGAAAATAATACAAATAAGTATTTACTTACCTACTAATCATATATACGTAATATTAATGATGAAATTACAGAGTCGAAGAAGGAGGAGAAAGAGTCTAGCTGAATTGTTTCGCCCGAGAAGTGAAACAGACAAACCACCGCATTGATTAAGTTTAAGTGAGGGGGGCTGGGGCTGCCTCTGCAGCGGCCACCCGTCGCCTGCGCTTTCCACCGGCGTCGCCAACACTTTCGTTGCCTCGTGTTTATTATTTTTATAATAAGTATATAAATACGAGATTGGTCGATCCCTGTTCTTAAATATCCCATTATAATTGTTCAATCTGTTTCGTTAAGAAAAGAAGGGATGTCTATCGAACAGCACCCCCGCACCTCGGATCGTACAATGTCGTAACCATACCTTAATTTTAATTTTTAATCCTCGACAATTACAATTTTAATTACACCACAATTTCTTTAGTTAGAATCGCCCTGACTTTTGAATCGGAATTTGAAATGCGACAGTGAAATTAACAATGAATTTGTATTTTTGATTCTTTTATTAATAATTTTGGCCTAGTTTAGTTAGGAATTGTTTCTAATCGTACGAGTCTTTTATAGTTTAATGTTTAGGACTTTATTTTTAAGATGAGATATTTTAATCTGCAGTTATTTTGATGGCTATTATATATCTAAGGTGCAGAGATGCTTAATCTTTATGTATGTTAAGCTTTAATATTTTATTAGTAAATGTTTAAAATTCGGCTCACAAGATCCCGCCCGCCGCCAGCCACGACGGCCGGCTGCCGTCCGGCCGAGATCCTCGTCGCATCTCTACAGTCCGACACCAGACGAATCAAACCTTACGTGTGATATTTTGTAGTAGATATGCTAGATGTTTTTGCGGTAATTTTATGCTGCCTTTACATGACCTATTTTTAGTTGGAGCTTAAAATGCATTATTTTATATTTTTTATACTTAGAACTTTTGTAAATTATTTTCTAGTTAAGAAAAAGATTTCACGGAATTATTTTGATGCATTCATTGCGTGGTAAGTAGTCGACAGCACCATGGACCGTCTGCCCGGTGCGGACGAACTTTTAGAACAAAATTGTGAACTATTTTTGTGGCTAACTGTAAGTTCATGATATATTATGTATATCAATAATGTCGCATATGATTGTAAGTCATATTTTTATATACCCAACTATGTAACAAGGTCTCTTTGTAAAGCTTTTTACTTACCTTTACACACAAATATCACATATCTAATCATACATAAACACTTTCAACATATATTAGGGATAATGTTTTGATACCAATATTCACTGCATTTCTTTTGATACGACTAGCATTTATATTTATCTACTATTAATTTACGTAAGGTTGTAAGTAATGTTTTACCGCCATGATGTACAGTATGGTTGTAGGTATATGTACCCAGTACTATTTAACGTTTTATCTATGTAACACATATCATGTGGATGTAATATGTACTCTGAGAGGCTGATAGTAGTCCAGCGCGCCGCGTCTCAAGAGCACACAGATCCCTCTGTTGTCCAAAATCCACATGCCGCTCAACGCCTCAATTCTGCGCCTGCGCAACGTACCTTCGCCACAACCTACTTGTTTCACAGACTGGTTAGGCTTTTTATAAAACTTTTACCCATTTATTAAAACACTTTGTGCGAGTTTACGTTGCGCGCGCACGTGTCCACTATTTACTATTTGTATTCAGTCAATGGTTTTTATATTTATATCCCAATTAGAGTATCCCTTTGCCGTTGGTTGTAATGTAGACAAGCACCGAATTCAGATTGTGTTTCATGTGAAGTAAATCAAGTAGCTTTTGTATTATTGTACTAATGACAGGACTGTCAATCGCTGCAATGTTTTCGTACGGTGGCTTGGTGCTAATCTTCGTATTGTGCGGATACAACTCGCTTCAGTGTCTCGGACCAATATTAGTCTCCTTACCATTAGTCTTCTTCGCTTTGTGTGTCAAATATGCGCGAATTTCTTATAATGTAAACATATACTTATTAAATTAATTGTGTATGTCGACCTGTATAATGGTTTAGACTTATCCTCTAAAATTTCTCCGTGTAAGAACTTATAGAAAATCAATAAGTGATTTAGGGATGTGGCGTGACTGCGCCTATGTTTGTGTCCAAATTGTTGTAGGTTAGTATCAATGATGCCAATAAAATTGTAGTCGTGGGGCGGAGGCGCGGTTACGCCACGATCTATTCAGACTGGGTCGTAATTGTATTACACATTTATTTTTATAAGGGCGGGCCAGTGTGATATCTATACTATAAAATGGATAAATAAATATGTATGATCTGTAAAAATGCTTAGCAACGTCTTTTATTTCAGATCTGTCCCCATTTTTATAAGCCTTTTACTCAGTGACATTACTACATAATATCATACCCTTGGTATATTAAAGTGACGGTGATCATACATCAAAAATTCTTTAATACATGAAAATCATAAAAATAATACGAACTATTTTCTTTTTAGTTTTAACACACATACACTCATAGTCAGGGAAACCGTCTATCACGGGTGCCATGGACATACATATAGGTAGACAACCACAAATTACATCCAAACTCACGAGAGAAATAAATGTAGGCCATACAAATATTACTCCCGGCTAGGGAATCCTCAGAACCCAGAACCTCTTTTTAAATGACTTCAAAAAAGGAGAGGTTCTCAATTCGACTATGTTCTTTTATTTATTGTGTATGTATGTTACGCGATAACTCCGGTATTTGTGAACCGATTTTCATGATTCTTTTTTTGTTGGAAAGGGGGTACTTCCATAGTGGTCCCATTTCATTTTGAAGAAAATCATCCACCTCGAAGGGTGGCTGTTCACGCATGAAAGTTCATTTTTATACATAGCGCCTAACTTTAATTTAGGAGCAGTTACTTTAATGGTTGATTTTGCTATTTCTCCAATTCCAGGCGTTTTTCTCTCAATATACTTTAAATAGTGAGAACCGATTTTTATTATCTCCAGTGTCAAGTCCTGTATAGTGGCGAACTAGGGGATATTTCAATAAAACTTAGCAAATAGACGTAATTCCACGTACTTTTGAGATCGGTTTTTTTAGTACTCTGTACTGAGATTATTTAAATTTTAGTTGCGAAAATGAGTGCTAGTGAAATGAGTGATAACGAAAATACAGTAATAGATAGGTACACATACAAACACATCATCAAAAGTTCAGCAGACCACTATTAACGTGCCTGGAAAAACAATAACATTTTCTTTTAGCAATTGTCCTAACACGTCAATATTATTTTTATTTTATTTTTTATTTTTTTTTATACATGACAGGCAAATGACTCCACTCCACCTGATGTTAAGTGGAAAGTGGTATCCAAACGCGAAGGAACCTAGTGCAGCGATGAAACCCTCACTGCACTAGCCACCTCCACCCTGCCTGCCTACAATATGCCTCTTCACGCCTCGTTTGAAGGACCCCATATCATAAGAGGGAGGGAAGACATGTGCCGGAAGGGAGTTCCATTTGTCAACCGTGCGGCAGAGAAAGGAGCCACCAAACCTTTTAGTACGCGATGGAATGCGACAGGTAGTGAAACGGTGACTACAAAGGCCAGCACGCGTGCTTCTGAGCAGGAACGGGGAAGGGGGGATGAGGTTGAACAGCTCCTCAGAGCACTCACCATGGTACATGCGGTAAAAGGCGCTAAGCGATGCAACATCTCTACGCAGTTGCAGAGGTTCAAGGCGTGATGAGACCTCTTCGTCGCCTATAATTCTAGTAGCACGACGCTGTAATTTATCCAAGGCATCGAGTAGGTACTTGGCGGAGCCGTCCCACAAGTGCGAACAATACTCAACGCAAGACCGGACCTGTGTTTTGTACAGCAGGCATAACTGGTCCGGCGTGCAAAAACGTCGCACCTTGTTCAGGACTCCGAGTTTCCGTGAGGCTGTTTTGATCACAGATTCGATGTAGCTCCTTGGATTCAAATCACAGCAGATTTCCATACCGAGCAAGGTGAAACTGCTCCGAGGTGAAAGTGCTGTGCTCATCAGAGAAGGCATGGGAAGGAACGGCGACAATTTTGTTGTTAACGCGCAAACCTGTGTTTTCTTGGCGTTGAACTCAACAAGATTTCTAGATCCCCATGCAGAGATGAGGTCCAATATCCTATTGAGCTCACCGACAAGATTAGATCGCTCTCTGTCAGTATCGGCGCGCCCAGCTGCGGGGAATCCGTAATATCCCCCATGAACAGTGCTATCATCTGCATAACAATGAATATTCCCAAGTGGAAGCATATCATTGATATGCAGAAGGAAAAGCGTGGGAGATAGGACGGATCCCTGCGGTACGCCGGCGTTCACATTCACGAACCTCGAAATGCTGCCGTCAGAAACGACGCGAATTCTCCGCTCACGAGGGAAATCGGCAATCCAGCTGCATAACTGGGCTGGCAAACCGTACGCCGGGAGCTTGGAGAGAAGAGCTTTGTGCCAGACCCGATCGAACGCTTTGGCTATATCGAGGCTAACAGCCAACGACTCGCCACGTTTGTCTATAGCCTCACCCCAAATATGCGATAAATACGCTAGAAGGTCACCCGTTGATCGTTTCGGACGAAACCCATACTGCCGATCATTAATTCAGTCAGTTGTTTGTTAAGGATCCGCTCTAAAACCTTGCATATTATGGAAGTAGTGGCTATGGGACGGTAATTATGCGGGTCTGATCGGTCGCCTTTTTTGGGAACTGGTTGCACATTAGCCTCTCTCCAAGAGTCCGGCACACGACCTGAAGAGAGTGACAGATGATACAGTCGCGTTAGCACGGGGGTCAACTTATCTGCGTAGTTCCTAAGTACAACCGCTGGGATACCACCAGGACCACTAGCTTTCCGGACGTCGAGAGACTGCAGCTGCGTACGCACATCGCATTGTCTGATACGAATATCAGACATCGTGTAGCCACAGTGAGGTAGAGTTGGTGGCTGTGCATTACAGTCGTCGAGACAGGAGTTAGCCGCAAACAGATTTGCCAAGAGGTCGGCTTTATCTTGCGGCTTGTGGGCTAGATTACCGTCAGAATATCTCAGCGGGGGCAGCGAGGGCTGGCAGAAGTTCGACGCAACGGCTCTGGCCAGACGCCAGTAACTACGACTACCAGTGGGATGCGTCAGGAGTTCTTGGCCAACTCGTGCGACGCGCTGAGCATCCGCTCTGATGTACGCTCTTTTGCAAGACCTGGTGGCATTATTGTAGGCTGTTTTAAGTGAGTTCGTATTGGGATCGTCTGAAGCTCGACCCTTGATCCAAACGCGGTATGCAGTCTGTTTGTTTTCAACTGCCACAGCACACTAGCGGTTGAACCAGCGGTTGCGCCTCCCTTTACTGACGACATCCGAATGCGGGATGTAGTATTCCATCCCGATTAAGATCTCATCAGCAACGGCAGTCGCGCTAGCTGTTGGATCCACCTCACTAAAACAGCGCTGCCGCCAAGGAATGGATGCAAAATAGTCCCGCATACCGTCCCAATCTGCCGACGCATAATGCCAAATGCGGCGTTTAGCCACAGTTGGTGGTGGTGGCAGTAACGTTGCCACTTTAGTGGATATCAAGCAGTGATCCGAAGTGCCCAGAGGGGCTTGGACCTCCACCCGATATCCAGCTGGGCGAGACGTCAGCAGAAGGTCCAACAAAGAGGGCGCGTCACCAACCCTATCTGGTATCCGGGTGGGCTGGTTTACCAGTTGGGTTAAATCGTGTGTGAGAGCGAATGTGTGGGCAGTTCTTCCAGCATGGTCAGTTTTAGAGGAACTTAACCACGACTCGTGGCGAGCATTGAAGTCCCCTAAAAACATCAATTCCGCTGTAGGAAACTGCGCCTGCGCGTCATCTGCCGCCCGAGTAAGGTGGTCTATGAGACGAGTTGTCTCCATGTCGCCGTGGTGGGATCTGCAGAGGCACATGTAGACACGGCAATGACTGCCCAGGTCAACATGTACCCCAAGGATGGAGAAGGAGGGGTCCTCCAAATGACGCAGACGGCGACAGCAAACATCTGCCAGGACAAACAAGCAGACCCCAGCTTTCGCTTTGAGGGACTCTTCAAGCATATAGCCAGGGTAATTCAAGTAGGTGCTGTCAGCCGGGCAGAGTATTTGCGTCTCCGTAAGGAACAGCATTTCTGGTCGAGCCGTCTCAAGATGTTGGTGGACGGCGTGGATGTTACTGTGGAGTCCTCGAATGTTCGTGAACTCCACCTTAAAGAGCGCTTTAGTGGTGGGGGTGTGCACCGCTGTACGACCGAAATTTGTACTTTGCGCTAACATATTGGAGGGAAAAAGAGGCGTGAAGCGAGAAAACAGTGCCGCGACACAAGCGGTCAAATCGCGGGGCTTGCTTCCCCAGAGACTTGCCTACAGACAAGTTGCGCTGATCCGCCGGACGGAAGGGCCCCCGAACCCCCCCGGGAATGGCCGCCGGGACCCCACCTCCCGGTCACCAACCGGCACGACGAACCACACCGAGATTATGTGCGGTATGGTGAGGCAGCCTCACGAGCTGGTTAAGCACGCTTGGGCCCCTGTACTGTACCGCGGGCGGCCAGCGGAACAACCGTTTCTACGGGTCTCCCTGGCCGGCGGGTCAATGCAGTTGTCCTGGCACTGGTTCGGCGGAAACCTCCACAGACCACAAATGTCGCGGCAGCGTTGCCTCGGGTTCTGGTTGTACGCTGACTGATCCCGGAACGCATCCGACTAGCGAACACTTGGCGGGTTTTCCACCATGCGCACGGTGGTCACTAACCACCCGGGTTTTCAAGTCCTACCACCAGTGGAGCAGCCGGTAGCTCAATATCCCTTAGTCGCCTCTTACGACACCCACGGGAAGAGAGGAGCGGTGAATTGTATTGTAATCCGTCACCGCACGGTTAAAAATTATATATGGTGTATTTTACATCACCATATAAAATATTTTATATGGTGATGGTATATTGTGCTGTATTGTTCTAGAAGCCGAAATAGACTAAAGAGCAGTGCTGATAAATTAAACATAAAAAAAGTGGTGTAACTCCCATGACTAACTAGACATTGGCAAAATTATTCAAGAGAAGCCAGAAACTTAAGAATAGAATATTTTTTTACTTTTTCTATTATTTTATTATTGTTCTATTATACATCTTCCTCTCTCCGGCGGGAACGGGGATTGCTTGACTTGTATTAATACAAGGCCTTGCTTGACTTGTATTAATACAAGGCCTTGCTGGCGCTCGTCCTTGTAACTCATACTCGTCCAGCAATCTCTTACTTCCCGGCAATAATGTATTAAAGCTTTGTTATAAATATTTAAGTAATGTTGATTTACCATATGACCTATGTGGGGACTGTGAGGAAATGTGTAGCAGCGAAATGCACCCAAATTACTACCAAGGCAATTGAAACGGCTGCAACATTAACGTCACAAAGTAAGAAAAAGAGAAAGAAAGTTATCGGATGCAATTATCATCTAACTGTACCCGTGTACAATAAGGCGTGTTAGGCTCCCAGAGGGTGATGCCAATCCTGGATTTATAAATAGGCCGTATAGGCCGCGGCCTAAGGGCGGCAGTGTCCTAGGGGCGGCAGATTTCAGTGGAGACAAAAGTCAAACATGTTCACTGGGTTTCTCACGGTGTACAGAAGCCTGCCACTGTTTTATGTTGCTAGAAGAGGTATATACTTTCTTCGTGAAGTCAACTGAACGTTGGAAAAAATTAACGAATGAGATAGGAAGAGGAAAAACACTCAAGAGAGTGAACCTCACTCGTTGGTCGGCTAGAGCAGATGCCTGTAAAAGTCTAAGAGATTCCTGGGATGAAGTAATTACAGTCTTAAAAATGATTGAAAATGACAGTACAGAGAAACCGGTTCCGCGAAATGAGGCCAAAGGAATTAGCGTCACATTAGAGAAACTTGAAACTGCGTTCATGGTCGTATTTTGGAGTGCTATTTTGGAAAGGTTAAACAAAGTGAGTGTTCAAATTCAGAGCTCATCTGTAGATGTATTAACGAAATCTGATCTCTATGGATCTCTAGTAGATTTTACAATAGCAGAACGAGAAAACTTTGACTATTTCGAAGAAAAAGCAATTAAGATGAGCGCACTTAAGCAATATCAAGATGAAATAAAGAGACAGCCTAAAAGAAAAAAAAAAAACGGATGAAACAACGTATGAAGAACCTGAAATACCCTCCGGCTCCAGACATTATTTCAGAGTGAACACCTTTTTGGTCATCCTTGATAGACTGAGAGCTGAAATACAGAGAAGGCATAATGCTTACTTGAACTTTAAAGAAAAATTTTCATTTTTAACAAAAGTGACTGAACTTTCAACACAAAGAGTTACAGAAAAAGCCGAGTCTCTCGTGAAATATTATACCAATGATTTAGAGGACGATTTGATTCAAGAATGTGTACATTTTCACAGTCACATTTCCTCTGATAAAACTGTAGATTGTGCAGTGAAGCCTGGATCGAACTCACTGCTCAGTCTCTCAACGTTTTTGTCGAATCAATCTCTGCATAATGTTTACCCTAACTTGGATATAGCTCTGCGTATTGCACTTTCCATTCCGGCTACAAATTGTTCTGGGGAAAGGAGTTTTTCCTGTTTAAAACGCGTCAAAGCTTATCAAAGGTCTTCACTGTCTCAAGAAAAAATGAATTCTTTAGCTCTTCTCTACATAGAAGCAGACATAATGAACACCATTAACTATGATGATATTATAATGATTTTTCTATTAAAAAGTCCCGTAAAAAATTGTATATCTTGTTTCTTTTTTACGCTCACTCTTAATGACTAATTCATTCGTTTTTTAACTTTAAGGCCTTCTTTACTACAAATGGAATATTATTATTTTAGAAAGGTATGTACATGGGGCGGCGGAAATAAAGTGGCCTACACTCATAAAAAATATAAATCCGGCTCTGGGTGATGCACAGTTCTCCTTCTTGTGGTGTGTATGATGACATGAACACCTATTAAAGGAAAACGTTTAAGAATAAATTTAATTAACATAGTGTCAGCATAATCTGAATAAAATTGTGGACATTGTAGCTTCACACAGCTGTAAGGGCCATTGTAATTTTGAAAATACTAACAAATCAAATTTTAAACAAGGACCTATTATAGTTGACGGCCGTGACAGCAGAAAAGGGATATTGGTTCGTCCATAATATCAGGCGTATTATGTGAGTCAGCTGTGGTATAATTATATCAAACTATGAGTAGGTACTATGCAACAAAGCATTTCGAGCCATCACGTCCGCCTGAAAGACTAGATAAGTTCAAGAATTAACATGTAGGTACATTTGTTTTCAAGATGCGGCGATTGTAATTATTTTTAATGTCCCCAATTTTAATCTTATTTGTGTTTTAACTTTATAACATATTGACATTTAAATTAGTAACTTTAATTTTATTTTTCGTTTTTATATTTTCATAACTATTATATGAATGTGTGAGGTGATATAATGGAATACATGCTTAAATAAATAATTGAATTGTTATTAATTATTATTCAAAACTTCGCCTTCTATTTATTTCATTTTAAAAGAAACTGCCCTGAAAAAGTGACCGTCAGATCCTGATTAAATTGCAGGCGTTGGCACTTCGTAAAAATTTCAATCGTTTATATTTTTTTAACTAATGAGGATAGAAAGCTTATAATACCTTTAATTCGTGAAAGTAGCAAATAGGTAGCAATTTTTTGGAATACATACTTCTGGAAAACCTGCTTCCTTCATGCTGAACAAAGTGGCGACCAGCCATCCTGACGCCAGACTGGCTGGTCAATAATTTTTTTTCATTTCCCAGAATATACTTATCAAAGGTGGCAATTATTTAGAAAAGGTAGCAAATAGTAGCATTAGGTTGCAATTCGTGAATATACACTCAGTGCCATATGCGATAGGCAACCAGCCATCCTGACAGTCACCCTGAAAAGTTGTCATAGTGCAAAAATGTGGCCTTATAATTTTTTTTACGCACATACTAATAGCCCCGCACTAGAGAGACTGTATCGCGGGTGCTATGGACTCATACATAGACAACCACAAATTACACTGAAACTCACGAGAGAAATAAATGTAGGCTATACAAATGTTTGTCTCGATCGTTTGTGGGCAGCTTAGTATGGTAACATTTCGGCCACACAGGCAGTAATTACTAGCGTCGTATTCCAGAATTCCACTCAATGCTTAAGTTAGGACTTAAGTATGATTTAAAGCACTAGAAATCGTACTCAAGCCCTTGCCATTACGGTTGTATTTCAATTTGTGCTTGAAATCATACTCTAGCATTGAGTAGGGTTCGGGAACCTCCCCAAATTATGCGATATATCCTTGAAAAATAGCAGTCTCAATTAGGGCTTAGAATAAGGACATACAGGAATCGAAGAATTTGAAAGTAAATGTTGGAAGGTATACAAATAGCTTCCATTTATTTAACAATTAATGGTTTGCAATAGTCAGCTTTTTTATTACAGCCCAACGTATAGCTACAAGGCATTTTGTCACCACAAACAAACTGTCAACAAAGCTAGATATTTCAAGTTATATAACTGCAGCGTTTAGTCTAAATAAATACCATAGACAACAATATTGGCGAATATATGGCAATTCTCGAAGTTGTGCGCGACGTACACATCACGATCGGGGTCCCATAAAAATGAGTGGTATACATGAACTCCTTGCTGTCGTTTCTGTCCAATACTCACACATACTATTATCCTGTATCTGAAATAATATGTAAGGGGTTAGGATCTAATTATAAAACTCAGGAAACGTTTTGATCATGGAGCTCCTTATGTTTATTTAAAACGCCCACGTTTTGCTACAAATGTACTGGTGGAAAGTGCGTCGCGTTGAAATCTTTTATAGCTCCCATTTTAACAGCAGCATAAATAATAGGAGTATTACGCAACTTAAAAATGGGAATTAGTATTACACTTCAAATTACCACACACTTTAGTTAATAGTAACTCAATATTACCTCTCAGCTTTACACTTTGGACCGTTTTGTTACATCACGTGGCATATAAGGGTAAATTTAAATATCAATTCTGAAGCTGAGCGCGCTTCCGTCACTAATTAAAGTGGGCAAATTCAGTACATGAAACCAAATAACTTACATTACGGGGAACCTTCATTTCTGATTTCATTTTAATCAGGCTATATGGACTATATAGAGGTTGGTCTTATCGATTACACGTATTTAATTTCAAAATATCATGACTGTGAACCATAGTGGCTGGTTATTTTCATTTCTTCTTTTTACTTCCTTGTCTACAGTGGCAGTAGAGACATCCGAGAACGGATATCCCTGCTAACACGGGCAGAATACACATAGTTGCGATATCCACATTTTTCCACGTCAATTTTTCGAATACGATTTAAATAGTATTTAAATTAGAAGTTCCCCTTTTACGTACTTTGCTTACGCGTTTTAAAACATATTAACTGTCGAAAAGTCTTTACAATTTACCATGATTATCTTTTTTTTCCAACTGACTAACAATATATGGATTTGATTGACGAACCTGTCATAGTTTTGTTCTTTAATCGCTAAGCGGATAGATTCAGCCAGGTTCAAGCATAATTCTGGGATCGCCTTGTCGTTGTATTGAACCTCTTCGAGTTCCGCATCGACGATATTTCTCAAAATCTTCCCGACTTTCTCGATATTGAAACGCACTTTGGGGTTCAGTTGATAGGTGGGTAGGTAGATTCGCACCTGTTTGGGTTTAGGAGGCACAGCAGTGTCGGTTGCTGTAGTAGACATTTTCGAATGTTTGGTCGATATAAGTTGGGCTTGCTAACGTTTCAAGGGCTAGTTTGGATTGCTTATAACTCATATAACCATAGTACACATATTTAGAATTTTGATAGGAATAATGCAGGCAACCATATCAGTCATATAAAAACGGGAAATCTTGAAAGATTTTGAGATTGAGAAACCACCTTGAGATGAATCTCAAGGTGGTTTTTGCGAGAATTGTTGTATTAAATATGTACTTACATGTTTAGATTTATTAATATTCCGATTACTTAAGGTACTTATCCTAGCTATGGAGGATAGCCTCTTGTGTTCTCTATAATGGATGGAAGTTTTACTTTTGTTAAAATCGGACATTTTTAAGATTTCTTCTTGAATAATTCTTCTATAGTTAAATATGAACAATGAATTTGGTTGTGTATTTATTTGTTAATGATCTAGTAGGCTCATATTTATTAAATAGCTTTTATTTTTCGTTCCTGGATCGCAAAAGCAAAAGTATCAACGTCTCTATTGCATGGTGACTTACGTGATCTGTGATGGTGACCATCGAATCGTGACACGTTCAAAGAGATTCGGTATTTTAAACCATCTTCGAAGCACTAAAATGAAATAATTTCAATGAGCTATATCATCAGCGCAATTTTTTTTGGTGCGCCCTAAAAGGAGGCATTCATTATCCTGCATTGCAGTCTGCCTTGTTGTCCACCGCGTAATGCAGGATTATGAATGTAGTCGCAGATGTGGTCTCAGCGTGCAATATATCCTGCAATCCTGCAATGCGTCCTGGGACACTCCATTACGAGGACCACACGCAGGATAGTGTGTGAGCATTCTCTTGCTTGCGCGGCGGACTCCGTCGCGGCGGGTAATGAATCGGCCGTTTTAGGGCCAGCGCAAACCAGCGGACGGCAAGGCTAAATTAAATTTATCAAAGAATATTTTGTGCTATTACAATTATTATAATAAGGCGCGTTTACGCCGGGTAGGGATGCACATTACGTTTCGATGAAGAACGATTCAAGATAATACGAATATAGCGATTTATGAATCGATTTCAATGCGATTTTTAAGCGAATCGATTCAATATTAAGGCAGATGGAATCGTCTAAATCGTATTCATAATTTATACAAAAATCTCGTCTTTTTATTTTGTTATAGTCAGTCAGTAATTAAATGAATGTTTATGAGAACAATTCAAAAGCATACAATCCGAACCGTGGATCGATTCAGAGGCATGTGATCACGGATGATATCATCGTAGTTTCAAATTTAAAATAATGTAACAAATTCTGGACTGTTAATATAATTTAAACTTTGCCCAATTGCTATATCGTTGAAAGTTCAATATTGTTCACGTTCACGTGTCATGAACAGACAACCTGACCAGATATAAATTACCACGCGACCGATAATAGATTACTCAGCAGTAGATGCATGAGAGCCGCGCCGCCGGCGCGCGCCGCCGCCGCCGCCGCGTTTTTCCTCAGACAGCATCAGACAAGTTTTTTCTAATAGGGGATGGTTCGAGTATTGGGCGATGTTAAATAAATATCTGTCGCTCATGAACTGACGCCTTAAGTGCAATGGAGGATCGAGGCACTCGATTTGGAGGGCGTTTATAGCACATGATTTCGTGGCTCCAGAGATGATTCTTAAACATTTAGATTGAATGAGATGAAATGAAAATCTGATACGAAGCAATATCGGCATATAGTTTGGAAAATATATGATTTCGTGTTGGTATCCACTCGGTAATCGCTCGGCTTGATTCGGCATCGCTATAAAATACGCGATGCAGAGTAATATCGATATATAGTTTCTAAGATATACGGTATCGGATTTTCGATATTGCCATAATATATAGTTTCAATACGATTTGTAACGCCGATTCCTACACCTAATGTTTTTGTAGTTATCTTACGATGTTGGTATCTCACAATAAAAATTGTATTTGGATAATAATACCATAAATGTTACTTCCCCGCACAAGTATACACAAAAAGCCGATAATATACATCTTTGGCGACGAACAAGCGCGTGGACTATCTCTGAGACTGCTTAACTCCAGAAAAGGCTAGTAGAACGATAAATACGACGTAAGAGCAGTAGTAAAACCTTATGCTTCTAGCTCACATATTGTAAATGACTTAACTCACATAACAAATTTTATAACGAAACAAGATCTTATTGTTTTTTCGTGGGGTGTAGCGATAGAAATCCCTTTAACTATTAACAAACGTGTGCAACATGTTATATAAATTCAGAGATAACAATATACTATTATTCAATATACGCAATAACAAATATTTGTACACAGCCACCTTAAATTATAACTTAGAAAGATTCATTAAAAATTATACAGGTGTCCCAAAAATAACACGCCAGAGCGACACTGTGGGTAGCTCACCAGCTATACACCTACCAGAAAAAAATAATTTGACTTTAGTAAAAGTCTTTTAGTTTTCGAGATATTTGCACTTTTTTATTTTTTTGGAATAACTCTACTTTTTGTTGAGTTTTTTGCTACTATTGCCAGGGTTAGCTCCAGATGGTAGTTGTTTTTATTTTTCAGGTAACCTGAATAGTTTTCCAGGTACTGCAACTAATATTTTATCTGATAAATGTCATAAAATGTGAAAAAAGTTTAAAATTAATTTGGTATACCTCGTACCCTTGTAAAAAGTTAAACGTTAACTTTGAATAGCTAGTGTGAAAAAAAAATGTATGAAACTGAATTTGCAAATGATCTTAAAAATTGCTCCACTTAATGCAGAATCAGGAATGGTACAATATTATTGAGATTTTTCACAAGAACATAGTCATTTAATTTATTTTTCGTCATAACACCCTACCAGCCTAATCAGTTTCTAAACAAAATTAAATTTAAACTTTTAAATGAATTAATTGCTAAGCGCTAGGTAACGGCGCATCAACCTTTTTCCCACGTTGTATTCGTAATAAAGGAGTGAGATAGTTACTAGGCTTTTCTTTTAGGCAAAACTTGTCTGATGCTGTCGCTTCCTCACCCTATTGGGCCCATAGAGAAGCACCTCCCTTAATTAAAAGCTTCAATAGCTTGAAAAACCTCCCTTCCCCTATTGTGAAAATCCCCAAAAAACCCCTATTTCAGATCCCTTTTCAAGCGCTAACCTTTTAGCCACGTATAATCCTCAACATTGGTGTTTGCAAACTACGCTAATCAATGCTAACTACGAATTTTCAAAGATCTTAAACAATAACTGGCACGAGTGGCTAACCATCTTTACAGACGCCTCGACGCACTATTAAGCTTTAAGTGCTCTCCCACCTCAACTGTATACACTGATGAATCTGTCGCCGTTCTGGAAGCCATCTTGTATATGAAGTCACACCGCCTAAATAAGACAATAATTTTCTCTGATTGCCGTAGCTGCCTGCAAGATATTATCAAGTTACCATTCCACTCAAGGAATAACTTCCATATCACCCTCCAAATTAAAGAACAGATAGTGCTATTGTGCCTTAATCGAAGATTAAAACGCGAAATTATACGAATCTCGAACTAAAATAGCCGTATCGGCCCGTTCTAAGGAATCCCGAGTCAATCCAAACACGCCACCTCAAATTGCCTATCCTCTTTGTGGCGGCCATATTTACAGAAACATAATTAAACGAAGACATGGCTCAAAGGACTTGTATCTTAGCCAAAATTATTAATAAAAAAATCTTTCTTTTACTAAACGATTTTATTTTTTATTTCACGCTAAATAAAACTTAACATGAGCCCTCTATTACATTTTTGTAATGTCATTAAAAAAAAATTATAACCGTTAATGTGCATAATAACCGCTTAAGTATTTTAATAACCGGCAGTCAAAGAGTACATTGTATATTCTATCTCACCACCGCACCTGTCCACCAGTCGTAATAAATCTTAGACTATTTTTTTCCATCCTCTAAGTAATAAATTAGTCTTTCAACACTGACATTGGCGAAATCGTCAACGACGGAGCCATAGATACAAAAGTCGATGTTGAAGTTGAGAGATTTATCTGAGGTCGCGGTTGAAAGGTGTGAATTTTGAATTTTGAATTTCGCTTTTCGACTCTAATTTCTCACTGAGAGTGTAAAATTGTGTCGTATTTTGTGTTGGTGGTGGTAAAAAAAAATAACATAGAGGCAAGTCCCCTTATGTTCTGTGATTCCAGCGACGAATCAGGGCTCGTTCTCTATCTGTATCCCCGTCCGTAAGCTCAATGGAGATCAACATCAATGGTCAAAAGAGTAAGCGCCATTGCTTGCGCGGACATTGATAGCTCCGCTAAAACGTCAAGACTCCCGCCGTCTGCGTCTGTTCAACATACATATACCCTGGAGGGATACGAAAGTAACTCTGACTTGAAATATTCAAACATCGATGCTGGACCCTTTCTGGTCCATGTTTCTCGCACAGAAAGTGACTCCTCTGCTTCCACAAATTCAATGCGTGCTTTAAAAATCGCCCAAACAATCTACAACAGCAAAGTCTCGGGAATTTTAGAAATAAAAAGCATTGGCAGGGACAAAGTATCAATCTACTTCCAAACACCACAGGATGCAAACAACTTTATTGAGAGTCCGCTCCTTAACAATAAAAAACTTTCTGCTGCAATCCCCCGCTTTCACCTCAATCGCAATGGTGTTGTTCGCCAGATCCCCTTGGAATGGTCCCTCGAGGAATTGGTTCACTCCATCAAATGCCCCCCAAAGGTTAAAGTTATAAAGGCTAGGAGGCTAAATAAAAAGCGTATTATTGAAGGACAAGCCACTTGGGAGCCATCTGCCACTGTGGTATTGACATTTTTGGGACAGATCCTCCCGGAGAAAGTCTTTTGTTTTAATATGTTTCTCCCAGTGGACCTATATGCTCTACCCGTAATTCAATGTCACAAATGCTGCCGCTTTGGACATGTTCGTGAACAATGCCGTTCTCATCCGCGTTGCTCCAGATGCGCCCAGAATCATGATGGCTCCTCCTGCATCGTTCCAGATGATGCTGTGTCTTGTCTTCTCTGTTCTGCCTCCCATAAAGCTACAGATTCAAGGTGCCCTGAGCATGCCCGTCAAAAGTTAATCAAAAAAGTGATGGCTGAAGACAATATTGGTTACCTAGAAGCTTCCAGACGATTCAGTTCTGTCCGGAAATCATACGCTGACATGACATCTCCTTCCCAGCACCCGCAGACTCCCCCCACCCCCCTCAAACAGTTAGGTCTCCTCCCTGTACCCCTGTCCGCCCACAGTCCCAGATTCCTTCCACATCTTATCGCAAGACAACTTTTTCAGAAAGCCGCCACAGACAAGAACAAACAAGGATACGATAGATACTCACATAACCTCATAACATCTACACCAAAA